GGGGTTTAGGGTGTAGGGGGTTCGGGGTTTCGGGTGTTGAAAAGTTTCGGACAATTCTCTCAAGTATAGAGGGCATTGACAGGTGAGGGGTTTCCAAAGCAGCAAGCATATGCATCTTAAAGCCCAGGGGCTGCTGTCCTTCATGTCGCGAAACACCGTGTAAATTCGCATCTCGGGGTTTGTCTTGTCCTGGCAAGATCGAAGCAGGCGGCCCCATGCAAGATGTGTGTGTGTGTGTGTTATATATGCATGCAAGACACAGTCCTGAGGATGAGCAGTGCCTCTTTGTTTCGCAACGATCTGCTCTTCGAGGAACTTTTTTCGGTATCGGTTGAGAATTGTTTTCTTAATTCGGCCAAGGGAAGCGATATCCAGTTCTCCTTGTTGGTGATTGTGTCTTTCCTCAGGATAAATTGGTGACCATACAAACAAGATACACACAGAAAGCAAAGTGCAGCTGGTGGTCTCGATGTAGAAAGCTTCAACTTCAACATCGTTCATGTCCTTGTGGACTATGAAGGCTTTCAGAAAGTTGAACCTGAGCACCAAGGCGAAGTTGCTACGGTTTAGGGTGTAGGCTAAAGGGATTAGGGTTTATAGGGTTTAGGGTTAGGGTTTAAGGTTTAGTGGCTGGCATTGTGTGCATGAACCTTTTGGGTTGCGTATAAGGCATGGGCTTCCCAACCGGATCCTTGGTTGCCTTCCATTTCTCCAACAGTCCGGGTTTCAGTCCTGCCACAGAGTCTGGGGATCTTTGGGGTTTCGGGTTTAGGGTTTAGAGTTGGGCTGTGCAGTGGCGGTCCTTCTGCACTTTCAAACCGGCGTCTCATGGATTCGTTGAGCCTCTTCCTCAAGACTAAGTCCAACTGACCGGGCTCTGTCATTGCCAGAATCTGGTCGATCTGTTCAGCAGACAGCTTCTGCACCTTAGACGTAGCATTGAAACACAAGGATGTGCCATGACTTCGAAACATGCATGTGCCGGGTGTACTAATGCGGTTTCGGAGCAGCAGGTACGACATCTCCCGGCGACGGGGCCGGTCGTGCAGGCCTTAAGATTTCGGTGACAGCAGGACTTGGAAAGGTCGGGGTAAAGTTGTTGTTCAGTTAAGGCTTGGGGTTTGGAGTTGTCTGATGGGTTATGCAGCAAGCTGGGCTTCAGAGTGCTTTGCTTCGAGACCCTGGGAAGCCCTACTATAATTCTAGAACCTCTAAAACCCAGAAACCCTCAACTGACTTTAGGGGTCTTGCCTTTATTGTTTAGGGCTCTAGGGTGCTGGGAGGGTTTAGAGTTTAGGTTTTCAAAGGGATTTCGCCCGGGTGTCGATGGCAGCCAGGAAATTGAAACCTGCATAAAAGCTCGTTTATAATGAATGCTAAGGCTCTTCTCTGCAGAATCTGCACCCGTTGACACCGGGCTAGGCGTTGACTCAGCAAGACCTTGGATGATGCTAGTGCTAAGTCATTGCATCAATCGTCAATATACATGAACCATTCTATTGAAGAACATGATCTGCGTGCAGGTGTGTTGCTGGCGGCTGAATTCTCGTGATGCGACCACTGAAGCTTTCTTCTGACGGCTGGGGTCTCCGGTGGGGCCTCTACATCTCCTGGCGACTCAGCATCGACCTTTCCTGAACCTTTGGACGGCGACTTTGTCTTTCCCTTTCCCTTCGGCGTGGCTTCTCTTGCGGCTTCGTCCTTTCCTTTTCCCTTCTCTGCGGCTTCTCCTGTGGCTTGCTCCTTTCCCGAACCTTCCGTCGGCGACTTTGTCTTCCCTTTTCCCTTCTCCTGGGCTTCTCCTGTGGCTTGGTCCTTTC